CCCCAAAACCCCAAAACCCCAAAACCCCAAAACCCCTAACTTTTAAATCCATAATTAATAAAATTAGTAAAGAAGATGATTTCGTTTTTATATCAGCCTGCAAGTAAAAGAGCTGAGAAGCCAAAGCTCAACACAGACAAAAGTATTGATGCTCAGAGAAAGAGTTACGGTAGGCTTTTTTCGTGACCCAATTCTGTCACCGAATCCAATCTCTAATTTTTTGGTACAGATAGGGCTTTTGAGATGAAGAACCTGGACCTGAATGAGCTTGACAAATAAATACTGCAAACCATTTAATTTCAAGTTTGAAAAAGTCAATAGATATCAGAGAAAGGAAATTGATTTCTTCCAAAACCTCAACGGTAATGAGCCCCTCATAACTGTTAGAGAATATGAAGAGAGAAGCTGCAGAGAATAGAGATCACTTTGAAGTCTGTGATGAGATTTATAATTTCTCAAAAAAGAGACAAGGCAGGGAAATATCTGTAGGCTTAAGAAGCTAACCTATAGCTCTTGGATAAGATTTATGTGCGCCCGAAGTCAAAATTTGAACAATATCAGAATGCATCTAAGGCGAATTCAAAAGATTCATTCTTTATCACTAATGTGAAAAAGTTTGATGAAAGCGAATGCCCTACCAACAGTAAGCTTTGTTTGGGATCGTATAGTCATTTCGTGAAAGGAGAAGATCAGAGATACCCGTCCAATCAGTTTGATAAATAACGAAGTTATTAAATAAGGTCTTGAAAGAAAGTATGAATCTGGTTCATGAAATTAGAAAAACCAACTCAGATTTTTAATACCACAAAAGAAATCCCTGAAATGAATGATTTAACACTGTATCAAAAGACTCCTATGAATACTACTGTTAATCAGAGTGCTAAATTGCAGGCATCTAAGAGGAGGGATATTACTACTGAAATCCACAAGTCTACACCATTTCATTCTGGGAAACCCTTTCAAAGAAATTTTAACGAAATTATTGAGGAGGAACAAAAGTCTAAATCTGATTCTCACAATAAAAACCATAGAAGCTACACAAAAATTAAAGGAAGTAATAGTGGTAAGATTTTGTTCTAATTTATGCAATTTCATTTTACATGCATTTTGCAAATTACTTCCAGTTCCCAACCCCTGAAAGATCTCTATTAGCTATAAAATACAGTTTGCTTATTGCTTGTTATAAATTCCTAGTAATTATGGATAGCCTACGACCTATTGTAATTCATAAAAACTTGCTTAAGAGTAGTATTTGCCTCTAAATGTCAATAAAATAACACATTGTGCATTTGAGGTTGTTTGTGCAAAGAAATATTATGAATATTTCGAATAGGAAATAAACACATATTGAGCCGGACTTTTGATTTGACCCATAAAGAAAACAAATTGAAGAATAATCTGGTATGATATCGTATAATAAAGTCTAGGGATGTCAGAGAGGTAAAACCATGTACCGAAAGAGCAAGTCTAAGAAGAAAATTGACCTAACTACTAAATTTCTCAAAAATATTGAAATAAACCGCAGAAGAAAACAAGAAGAGCGTGAACAACTTTATAGCAGGTTTACACACAGAACAGTAAGAGAGTTGCATAATCTGTGTAGAAACCTATTACTGAAAGAAGCACAATGTCTCCAACCTCTAGGCTTATGTCCAAACTTGATGGGGTCCGTGGTAAATCTTTTGATTTTACAAAGAGAAAGGAGCCTAAAAAGATTCAGAAATAAATTGAGAAACCTTGTTGAAGGATGCAAAGAAGGTCTAAGAATATTTCCTAACTGAGATAATGCCATTGAGTACGGAACCTTTGTCGAGAAGGTCAAGCAGAAGTACATGAGGAATACCTCTGATATATTACAAGGATTCTCCAAACTTAACTGCAAAGGTATGACTTCTTTTGTCATAGTTTTATCCTTATAGACTTAAAGAGAAATTACAAATGGAAACTAACCTCTCAGAAGGAAGAGCAGGAAGGAGAATGTATCGCTGTCAAGGAATATAGGACTGGAATGCTCGATACCAGGAGGACAGTAGCTTTTATAGAACGCACTAAGAATGTTGCTAAAATACTAAGCACCATCAAGCAAAGACATGCTTAACAATTATATAATTCATTTCAACCTGAGTGCCACACTTTGGGGTTTTGGGGTTTTGGGGTTTTGGGGTTTTGGGG